GAACAATTAAACAACAAAGTGACCTACGAAAAAAAAAAAATTACAAACTAAACCAAAAACAAACCTCAAAACACGACTGTTAAAACCGAGAAAAAAAAGCTCCCATCCTAGACATTGGTTAACTTATCCTTCCCTGCTCACTCAGTACACTGAATTTGAGATTGGGATGTCTTTCAGAACAAAGACACTGACGTTAACTGTTAACTTTCAGACCCATGATGCACTGTACTGATATGTTAATGAGGACATTTAACCCCCAATGATGGAATTTTTTTTACTTATTTATTATTTATCTATAAAATATTTTATACATTGAATTTCTCTATAAAAGTACGGCGAGCACATAGACGATGTTGAACATATAATAAGTATATGAAATCCAATTATAAATTAACAATGGGTGCAGTTGTCTCTTGATTGACTGGACATGGATGTTTTCAGAGACTTGTAGCAGATTTGATATTCTCTGGCAGGTTATTACGAACACGTGGAGCTGCTATGTAGGAGAAAGCTGCTCTGCTGCCCTCCTTTTTGAGGTGAGGACGGAAACTAAGGAGCAGGATGTGCGACAGGGGACAAACGTAGTGGAGGAGAAGAAGTGAGCATTCTGCTCAGGTAGTGTGGGGGTTTCCAGAGAAGTGGTTAAGATCCAGCCAAGAGAAGTGAAGAGAACACATGATTTTACAGTTAGCCACATTAGCTGCTTCATTGTATCATAATGATGCATCATTGTAGTTATAGTGATGAAGAAAGTGACATAATGAATTATTTAGAGTGTTGAGTCTAGTCAGATGTGTTTGTACTGCAGATCTGTGGTGGAACTAACACCACGGCAGTTGTTGTGGCAGCACTGGGTTCCACATGCTGGGTGGCCCATCAGGTGGCCCATGTACTTAGGGCCACCCAAAGGCATTGATGAACAGGGAACCTGGGCCCTTTAACAACGCAACTGGGCTCCTGTAAAACCGCCAGAATTGGAAGGAAGTAAGTGCAGGTCACTTCCTCCTATATACATAAAGAACGCTGTGTGGGAGGCAGAGACAGGAGGAGGCACAGGAGCCAGAAAGCAGTGAGAGAACCATCTGCAGCCACACATCAGCCTCAGCCAACAGCATGACCCAAGGGAGGCCACCCTCCAGCACATAAAAGGTGTGTTAACAGGAGGGTGGCTAAAAATCTAAGCATTCTAACTTAGATTGAGTGTGTACGTGTCAGAGTGTGTTTCTGTTTGTCAGTGTTTGTGTTAGTGTGTATTATTATTTTATTATTTATGTAGCGCCAGCAAATTCCGTAGCACTGTAAAATGGGTGGACTAACAGACACGTAATTGTAACCAGACAAATGGACACACAGGTAAAAAGGGATTGAGGGCCCTGCTCAATGAGCTTACATGCTAGAGGGAGTGGAGTATAGTGACACAAAGGGTATAAGTAGGGGTAATGAAATAGGTTGGTAGAAACTGAGAACTTAGGTTCTTTTTGACAGTTGCAGGAGAGGAGTCGCTGCGGGGTAAAGGGGGAATGAAAACCCCTGTATATATATATTATTTTTGTGAAACTTTGGAGCTAACTTAAGTGAACCGTGGGCAGTTTTTATTTAGATATATTGAGATTACACAGGATAGTGCTGGGTAACTGGTGATTCTAGAGGTTCTGTAAATGCTTTTCAAGACGTTTGCCTTGGTCAGCTAGTCACCTGACTTGGTTTTATGGCAGACATAAATATCTTTGAGAAAATATATCTATTCTCAATAATCCCTTCAAGCCCTCTTAAGATTTATGTGCTGGAATAAGGTATATTTATCTTATCCTCTCTGAATCAGTTTCAAGGAAGAAAAAAATGTAAACAAAGCTACTGGTTTAATGACTCGTTTGTTTCTGTCTCTGGGGAGTAATTGTCCCAAGTCAATAGTCAAGAACATCTGATGATTTCTTTATGTTAAAGTAATTGTATGATTCACCTTCAAATAAATAGTAATATGTTCCAATCAGGGCCAGATTTCCAATTCTGGTACAGTAGGCACCTGCATACAGGCACTTGTCCTGTAGAGGACACGTATAATGTGCCTTTTTGGAACTTAAAGGGACTCTTCACTGCCCAAACACAAAAGAAATAAAAAATGCTGTTTAGTAGATATACTCCCAATGAAAACATACATGAATTTTTTTTTCATCGCCGTACATCTGTTATACATGCAGATCTCTTGTCTGCTGCCTTTGCCAGCCCTCCCCTTCTAACCCCGCCCAGACTTCCCCAACTGTCCAATCACAGACTTCCCAATGCAAATCAATGAGAAGTCGTTCCAAGTAATCGTGTATTAAAACCAGGTTTAGAGTCCCATATCTAGTAGAGACTCTATTATTTGTTAATTGTTTTTTTCTTAATATTTGCAATTATATTTTCTATTTGGCTTTTTGACCTAATATTTGTAATTTATTTATTTTTGTCACCATGGTTCAAATTATAGACAATAGTCTGGATTTCCCTGCAGTCAACCTCATCCTGGAGGCACTTTACTGCACTAAACTCAAATCCTTCTAAATCACCGCAACCCCTGTGTAAAATCTCACTATTGTACTAGTGCTGGCATATGGGTTGTCAGACAGCCAGTCTGCATCTAGTATAATTGGATCTCTATGTTCTATATTTCTTCATGTTATATAAACATTGTATTCTGTTTTATAATTAAATTGATGAAGTGCTTTCATAAGTCTATTTCCCTTCTTTTAGCTAGAATTATTTATTTTACTTCACAATATTCCTGGCATTGGCTAAATACTATGTGATGTTCCTGTTTCCCCTCCAGTGTTAGTGTATACGGTGAGTATGTCTTGGCCCAGTTCTTTGTCCTTTGAATCCTACCTGCAGAGTTTTGGATAAAGTCAGGTCGAAACAACGCAGTCAAAACATGCTGGATGTCGAATCCTGTCTAAACTTGTTTTCTAGTTATTCTCATTAAAAGAACACTGTAGTCACCAGAACAACTACTGGTTCACTCAGACGGACCATAGAGGTGCTTCCTGGGTCAGTGCTGCAAAGTGTGCAGCAATGACGTTTAGCATCTCCACGCTCTGAATATAGAGACGCTGAGCTTTCCCCATAAAGATGCATTAATTCAATGCATCTCTATGAGGAGATGGTGGTTTGGCTTTCCTATGGATTGAACTAAAAGAAAAACATGATTTATCAAACCAGGCAACTTTCTTTCATTGTTCCATGGTCCAATTCTGATGCTTATGTCACCATTGAAGCCACTTTTGATGGTGGACAGGGGCCATCATGGGTACTGTGACTGGTCCACAGCTATACAGACCCATACACAGCAAACAGCAATGCACTGTTTGTTCTGACACCTTTCTTTCATGGCCAGCATGACATTTTTCAGTAAATTGAGCTACAGTAGCTCTTATGCGTGCTCCTGCAAAACAGGTTAGCCTTCGCTCCCCATGTGCATCAATGAGCCTTGAGTGCCAATGACCCTGATGATGGTTCACCAGTTGTCCTTCTTTGCACCAGTTTTGGCAGGTATTAACCACTGCTTACCAGGAGCACCCCACTATTTGATCATTGACCCTTGTCAAAGTCACTCAGATCTTTTCTCTTGCCCATTTTTCCTGCTTCCGACTGACTGTCCACTTACTGCCTTATATATCCTGCCACTTGACAGATGCCATTGTAATAATATAATCAATGTTATACAGTTCATCTATAAGTGGTTTTAATGTTGTGACTGGTCAGTGTAATCGAAAACTTAATTCTGTAATATAAAAGTTATAATTTTTGTTAACACAAACAAAGAAAATATAGTTTATTCATTCTGGATACTTTTTGGGCAGGGAGGAGAGACATCATTTTATCCCTGGTGGCCCAGCGTGGATAGTCTTTGGTCTCTCCCTTGTGTATTGGAGAGCTGTGGGCCCATATTATCAAAGCTTTGCTTTAGGAGTCGCCCGGAGCTTGCGTTAGCCACGTACCAGGTTGGCAACCAGCAACAGGAGAGACCAGAGACTCTCTGGAATTGACCTACCCCCTACAGTGGGTGCAATGGGCTGGTGAGGGAGATATTTGGTCTCTCCACTGGCCCATAGAGGCACCCCTTTGCATGGCCGGCGGGGCACATTTTAAGGTAGTGCTGGCCTTGCAGATTGGGGAAAAACTAAAGGGCCTCATATTCATAAACAATTTATTTTTAAAGTGAAAATCTGATGACAGATGTCCTTTAAAGAAAGAAAAATTAACCCATTTTTAGTTCCAGTGGTAATAAACATGATACACATATCACTGTCACGAAGCAGAGTTAGTGTTTCTGAATTCATTATTTTTGCATCACAGTTTTTTATGATTGTTTTGTTCACACAGCACTATAAATACTGAGTGTCATAAATGTCGTCCACTGGGCTGTTTTTGCTGCTGCACCATGAAGCATTAATTGTTTTATATTAGTCTTCTTTTTGCTGTGCTATAAATACCTGTTCTAATAAACCAGCGTGTTTTACTAGAATTCCTGGCGCCCACCTAACTGTTTGTTTTGCTAAACCTATAGCTACACCTTGTCAGTATGTAGCAGCCCACCACATCTAGCCACAAACCATCCGGGTGCAACTCATAATGCTCAGTAACATGAATTGCTAGTAATGCCTGCATTACCAAATCACTATAACAGGCACTATAGTTTAAATACGCGTCACCTACAAGGGGGACTAATGGGTCCCAGTCAGCATTTTGAACGGGGCAATTTGAATACTCCCCAGCTAGATCCACTAATTAATGTTCGTTTTTTTCTGAACATCATTTTTTCCACAGTAAATAATAAATGATAAAAGAACATTTTGTATTGGATTTGTCGCTGCTGTTGGCTGAATCTGTGTTGACAACGACTGTTACATTATCAGAAGATTTC